GGTTGGGATCTACTGATATGAGATCTCTGAACAATATGAAGTAGATTAATGAGGTTTCTGAATTCCCCTTGTCTAACAAACGTTTCCTCCATCTCTTAGATACCGTGGGTGTTTTGAGCAGAGTCTAGACTAGAGGGGCGGGGTAAAAATCAAATAAATAAATAAATAAATAAATATTAACTAGGTTTAGAAGAGCATTGAGGTAAAGGGGATCAGAACAACTGACTTTTTCTATGAAAAGATTCTAAACTTGATTCTGATGCTCTTCAAACATTTGTGGGCCAAGCATGGGGTCAGAACAACTTACTCCTTAATTCTCAGGGCGTGAGAAATGATTTTACCCAGCCTTTGTTAGTATAATAATCTAATAATAATAATAATCATAGAACTGCAGAGCTGGAAGGGACCCCCAAGGATCATCAAGTCCAGCCTTGATCAAGGAGACCTAGTTGGGGAATCGAACTCCCAACTCTGCAGCCAGATAGCCAGATGCCATCCAGTGGTTCTCTCTGAACTCTAGTGAAATACAAAGTACAGTGGTGCCCCGCATAGCGACGTTAATCCGTTCCAGGATTAACGTCGCTATCCGGATTCGTTGCTATGCTGGGGGGGGACCCATAGGAACACATTAAACTCCGTTTAATGCCTTCCTATTGGGGAAAAACTCACTGGTAAGTGAAGATTCCCCCATCTGGCCGCCATTTTCGCTGCCCGGTAAGCGAGGGCAGGGCGCGAAAACACTGCGGGCGGCCATTTTCTGCACTCGGCGGCCATTTTGGAACTGCTGATCAGCTGTTGCCTAAACATCGCAATGCGAAGATCGGTAAACGAAACGCTTACCGATCATTGCAATGCGATGCTCAGCCTATCTAAACATTGCAATGCGATGGCATTAGCGATCGCAAAAAACACATCGCTATGCGGATTCAGCGTTAAACGGTGCGCTCGTTAAGCGAGGCACCACTGTAGACCTTACCAGCTTCAGATCTGTCGACTCCTGCATCAAGATATACAAATATAATTTCGACAGGGTCTGTCTTAACTTTTAAAATGTAATGACTGAAAAAATGTCTGTCGTAGGAAGGAAAATAAAAGGTTCTAATTTGTTCGCTTGTTTTGATTGGAATTTTTTTTTGAAAACATGAATCATTCCGAAATCCTTCAGTAGCTATTTAATATTTTGATATGTGTTTATTCTGTTGAGATAAGTTTCAGAACTCTCCTCAAAACAAGGCCATTAATTAGCAGTTCTTTGTTCCGAAAATAATGGGGGGAGTCTATAAATGCATAAAATTCCTGCTCTTAGAGATCACTCGTTTTCTTCAGGCATAAGAACAAAGAGCTAATTATATCCTAATACTGTATAGGTCCCCGTTCGCTTGAAGAACCTTTCGGTGGCCCGATGGTTGTTATCTGTTTGTAAGTGGAAAAACTGAAGCAGAGGGTCATTGGAGGTGACTGAGGTCAACTCAGTTCAACAATCCAGAAAGCTGGAAGGGAGTGTTCTGTACTGAAGCTGTCAAATCTCCTTTTCGGAGGATGAAACAAGGCCTTCTGCTGCATTGTCGATTTCGTAGCAGATCAGCGTTTTCCTCTGCGTAAAGTTAAGCTCAATATATTACTTTGCAACATTGGCACTCCTTATTTGTGAAGGAGAGACGGGTAACAGAAAGGAGGAAACTCTGCTCCTTAATCGTAGTCGTCATCATCATGTAAACAGAATATTTTATTTCTGTGTGTTTCTTTCCAGTTTCCCTCGTTTTAAAGAATATGTAATGCAGTGTGGGGGACTTCTTCAGCTCTGCTAACCCCCCCCCCTCAAGTCAACAACGTTGTTATTTTAATCATACCCGTGTACACTGTAGACTTAATCAGAAGCTGAAGTTACTTATCCATTGATAAAGAGTAAAATTACTTACCGTATTATCTTGCCCCATGAACAGCTTCTGGACATCCTTAGAGTGCGCAGCTTTTGTTATTAGAACTTGATAGTTACCGCGATCCTTCCCCCACACACTTACTTTGTGTCTGGAAAGAATAAGCTTAATTTGGAGTAATTACTATAACTCTACTAGGTCTTTTGACTCTTGAATGCCTTGTGGAAACTTAACATGTCCCTCCTAGAGGTATCACAGACTCTTTCTCCCTCGGCCATCCTCCTTGCAAGGAGATGGCTGAGATTTTTCTTCTGAGTTGTCTTTAGATTCATTGCCAGATTGTTAAAATCCTATTACATAGGAGATAGCACATTCGGAGGGGGCTGGATAGCTCAGTGGTTTAGGATGCTGGCTGCAGAGGTTGGGAGAGTTGAATTCCCCAAATTTAAAATTAGCGCACAGCGAGTTCCAGGCTTAGCATGTGGTTTTGCTTAGTATTCCAAGCGTTGTTTCCAGCCATCAAGGTTTAAAAGGTTCTGTTCCGGTTCTGCCATTCCTGGAATGGTCAAAGGGCAAAAAGTTTTTAGCGTGGTGGACTCCGGTTCTGCGAACCTCTAGTTTCTGGAAGAGATCATCGTTGTTATACAGTAGTTGATGTCTTTTTCGAGAAAAAGAAATGTTCTGGTTAAAAATCAAGATGTGTAGGGGATTAGCAGAGCAATCCTAAAACATGCTAAGAGTAGGGGGGAAATCCATGGTGGAGTTACTTACTACAGCTTTTCGTGCTGTGTCAGTCTTGCATTAGCCAGGCCAAGAGAAGTAAGGTAGCTTTTTCTCTCTTCTCTGTTTGGCCTGATACAAATGTTTCTGTCTTGGGTCTCATCCTCAGTTGACTTGCCTTGTAGGAAACAGAAGGTCTTTGGCTTCTTCACATCTATGTCTTTACAGGCATACCTCTGTTTACAAACGCCTCGGTTAACGTAATTTTCGGTTTACAAATGGAAATCCATTGAAAATAATGCCTTGGCTTATGAATTTTTTTTTAATACGAAGAAAGTTTCCCCAGGATGCATCGTGCCTAGAGGTTTATAGCACTGCCCCATTCTTGTGGCAATATGTGTTCTGGTTTATGAATTTTTTGCTTTACGTAATGTCCCGTAAAAGGCATTAATTTCGTAAACCGAGGTATTACTGTATTTATTTATTTGATTTATATATCTGCCGACTTAGTGAAAACTCTACGACATCTACATTGGCTTGGGCATCTTGTGAGAATGGCTGATGGTCGGATTCCAAAAAATCTCCTGTATGGAGAATTAGTGCCGGGAAATTGCCCCAGAGGGAGACCACAGCTGCGATACAAGGAGATCTGCAAGCAGGATCTGAAGGCCTTAGGAATGGACCTCAACAGATGGGAAACCATCTGCCATCTGAGTGTTCAGCCTGGAGGCAGGCGGTGCATCATGGCCTCTCCCAATTTGAAGAGACCCTTGTCCAGCAGGCTGAGGCAAAGAGGCAGTCCCAAAAGCAGCAAAACCAGGGAGCTGGACAGGGGGCAGATTGCATTTGTCTTCAATGTGGAAGGGACGGTCACTCTCGCGTTGGCTTTCTCAGCCACACTAGACGCTGTTCCATGACCTCTGTTCAGAGCACGTCCCCATAGTCTCTCGTGACTGAAGGATGCCTAATCCTAGTGAAAGCTCACTTTTCTGGGTGGTGAACGTGAAAGAGGCTAAAGCTATAGCAGCAGCATCAACCCACAACAACAGGAAAATTAACAAAATTATATACAGAGCAACAGCACAACAAAATCGTATGGTGGCATCAAATAAACCTCCAGAATAAAAATGGTAAATTCCTATCTCAATGGAAGTGTATTTTTAAAGGCCTCTGTATAAAGTTATGCCTGGATGATATTTTTTTTGAAAGAAGGGAGAAATGATATCTGGGGTGCATCTAGTGGAGGGGCATTCCACAGGGATGGGGGCCACCACCAAGAAGGCTCGATTTCTAATTGACATTCTTCTGGCCTCTCTTGATGTGGTCACTGTAAGAAGGAAGGCCTGGGAAGAACAGGCAGTAGTTCTATGCGAGAAAGGAGAAGCAACTCTGAATAGGTTTCAGCACTAGAAGAAGGGTGTCTTAGTGGCAGGCTTCATTTTCCATGTTCACACCTCCCTTGGGAATAAACCTCCAGGGACCACGGCTTAGCACCTTCACTGTGATTGAGCCTAGGTTTGGTCATGTACAGTGGTGCCTCGCTTAACGAGGATAATCGGTTCCAGCGAAATCGCTGTAGAGCAAAATCCTTGTTAAGCGAAATAAAAATCCCTTTGAAACGCATTGAAAACTCGTTCAGTGCGTTCCAGTGGGCTGAATAACTCACTGTCCAGTGAAGATCCTCCATAGGGCTGGCCATTTTTGGTGCCTGTAAAGCGAGGAATCTGTCAAAAAACACAGCAGGGAGCCACAGCGGGCAGCCATTTTGAAGCCACCGATCAGCTGTTTTAAAAACCGTCTAGTGAAAAATCGGTTCCCGAAGCAGGGAACCAATCGTCGGGAAGCGAATTTTGCCTATTAAAACATCGTTTTGCAATCACAAAACAGTCATCATATAGCGGTTTCGTCATTTAACGAGGTAATCGTTAAGCAAGGCACCACTGTATTTTTTTTCTCTATTCTGTATTTATTTTTTTATATATGACTGAAAAACGTCAGGAGGCACTCATTTATTTCAACCGCTTGTGACCCTTGCTTTGATTATTGTAGCTCTGTTGTTGAGGTGTCTGGCTGCAGGACCAGAGGTTGGGAGTTTGATTCCCCCCTTCTGCCTTCCCTGAGGGGCTGGACTTGATGATCCGTGGGGTCTCTTCTAGCCCGGCAGCTCTAAAACGGCGATGATGATCCTCGCCATGAAAAAAAGGAGTACAATTTGAAGTTTCTTCCAGGAATTCCGTAACGTAGGACCCCCCCCCCTCACCTGTCAGTGGAGAATGACTTAGAATAAAATTTTCACAGCGATCTTTTTAAATCTATCATCTTAGAACAGCAGAGCGGGAAGGGACCCTAGCAGTCTTTTGAGTCCGGTCCCTGTCGGGTGGGGGTGGGGCAGAATCAAGCTCCAGCTTTTCTTGAACATTATGAGCTAAATTCATTGTTCCACGAGTCGCTTTCTGCTCATGAAGACTTTTCTTCCTCCCTCTGGCCTTCCAATGTGCTCTGGAAGCCTTCAGAGTCGTCTAACAAAAATGAACAGAAGGATGAGGGGGTTGGTGAGGGGAATATAATTCAGCCGTTGTGTTTTTCCCCCTTTGCTAGGAGATCATGGAATACGATCCTAATGACGATTATTAAGACTCTGTACGAAGACCGTCGTTCTGATCCGGTGCTTTGCTCTTCTCTTTGTGTTTCCCTCCGCCTCCCTAGGAAGGATCCGGCCACAGACTTGGGATACGAAGAGAGGGAAACGGCTTGGAGTGGGCCATGATTAGAGACACCATGAAGGCGTGGAGCGATAGTCAGTCCGACCTCTACAGCAGTGATCTAGAAGAGGAGGAAGAAATGATATTTGGAGAAAATGAAGAAGACATGGAAGAGATGATGGATCTAAGCGACCTGCCTACCTCCCTCTTTGCCTGTAGTGTCCATGAAGCCGTTTTTGAACTTCCAGAGCAGAAGGTAAGTCGCGCCAAGAAGCGCAGACAAAACCAGCGCTAATCTAGCTAATGAAGTGCACAACAGGGATGTCTCTGTATTTTATACAGGAGATGCAATATCACAGGATCTAAAAATATAGGTTAGTCCCAGATGCATTGTTGTGGTTATTGTTTTACAATTTAATTATGTACACAATGCCAAAAATGTGGAATTTTACAATTTAATTATGTAGGCTACACAATGCCAAAAATGTGGTCTCGAGATCTGATATTGTAGTTCTCACAGTAATGCAAATATTGGGCGACGTGGGTTTTTTTTGCACACAACGTAAAATCCTCTTACCTCTTTGTCATCTTTCCCTAAAATAGTTATTTTATTAAAGCAGAGAGGAAATAAAATACTATCATTACTTCTCATTGTCCTGACAATCATCAAGCCAGGTGGATTGCACGTAGGGTGGCATGTTTCCATGACAGCCCATATAAGTCTGTGTTTCTAGAAGAATTCACATTTATTACCTCATAATACACCTGGCTAAGATGTGCTTTCTGTTTCTTTCAAGTGCTGATCAAAATAGAGTTAAAAAAAGAGATAACTATATGTTGCTGGATGCCTCGGTAATTCTGAACCATTGTGTCTGTTTGCTTAATTAATTAATTAATTAAGCAAACAGACACAATGGTTCAGAAATAATTAATTAATTATCTGCCACCTTTCTCCTAAAGGATCCAAGTGCAGTTTACAGTATGAAAAAAAAACCCAAAGATAAAAGCCAGATAATAAATTATTACAATATTTAAAAAGCATTAAACGGGTATCATATTAAACCTCATAATAAGGACAATATTATAAACATTTTCGCAAGAATCTAGCTTAGGTGATAGAGGCCCGACTGGCATAATATCATCATTGGCTTGGTAGGGGTAGATGGCACTGTAGGGTAAACCGCAGAAGCCTCTGTGCTGCAAGGTCAGAAGACCAGCAGTCGTAAGATCGAATCCACGCGATGGAGTGAGCGCCCGTCGCTTGTCCCAGCTCCTGCCAACCTAGCTGTTCGAAAGCACGTAAAAATGCAAGCAGAGAAATAGGTACCACGTCAGTGGGAACGTCACGGCGTTCCGTGTCTAGTCGCGCTGGCCACGTGACCACGGAAACTGTCTACGGACAAACGCTGGCTCTATGGCTTGGAAACGGGGATGAGCACTGCGCCCCCTAGAGTCGGACATGACTGGACTCAGTGTCAAGGGGAACCTTTACCTAGGCATCGATGATGGGAGGGGTCTGATTTTGGCTCGTTGCTTATGTTATAATCCACTCAGAGCCTCTGGGGTTCAGTGGAATAAAAATGCAAACTTATATATATATTGTACCCGTATTTTTAAAGCTGGATGGTGCAACCGCTGCATAAGTCGGGGAGCCAGTAAAGGGTTAAGAGTTTCTCGGGTGGTCATCTGAAACTATTATTGTTCACACCACAATAATCATTTTTATGCACTGATGATAGCTGATCTCTTTATATTGAGTTTCCTTTAATTTTCCAATGCAAGGAAGATGAACAGGAAACACCATTCCTCTTGCGGATAGCTTTTGCTTCTCTTGACTTCCCGGTTCTAGTTGTTATGTTAAAAAAAAACGGTTCTTGCCCGAGGGCGTCCACTGATGATCATCACAGTGGCCATCATGGAAGTGAGTGTCTCTTTCTGCCTTGTGTTATGCACAAAGCCGATTTGCTTTCTAGTTGACCCCTGCGCCGTCATCTTTTCTGGCTTCTTGTGTAAAGCAGAGACCGATCCCGAGAATGTTTTGTTGCAGAAATGACCCGGTATGATTATTTTGGTCCTGTTTCCTATAATCCTTATTATCTCATCTCAGTAACTGTCTGACATGTTATCCCGTAAGCCTGAACGGCTGAATGTTAATTTCACAGCGTGCTGGAAAACACGGCGACTTAACGACACGGATGCCCCTTTTTCACAAGGTCATCTTAGGCGCATGCAACTGTAGACGGCCTAATGCTGCACGGCACACATTTTCTTTTTATTGCAAGCACTTCTCTTTATACTTAGAATTTGCAGAGCTTACACTATGAGGATATGTGTGTGTCCTTTTTCGGGGGATTCGTGACAGTTCGCAGGTAACCACCGGCCAGAGTCCGAAGGCCGAAAGGGGGGTTAAAAGGAGGGGAAAGTATTTTTGGCAATGAGTAGCCTTCGGCAGGACTTCCATGCCTCCGTGGTTTTAGCAAGGGCAGACGTAATAGCTGTGCGTTAAGAGATTCCTGGGCTTAGAAAACACAGAAGGGGAGGCAGCGGGAGGCGATTCCACCGCCTTTGCCCAGCCCGGCCCCACTAGCCACTAGGAAGAGGACTGCCATAAATCAGCTACACAAATCATGTGTAAAGCAGCTTACTTAACAGCGCTTGGATAGAGGAGGGGGAATTATGTAATAGCTGATGTAGTGACACAGTTGTTGCTGCCGAGATGAAGGAGGGTCAGAACGCTATAAGCCGGTTCTGTGACTTCTGCTGGAGTGAGATACAGTGGTGCCCCGCATAGCGACGTTAATCCAAAACGCTTACCGATCCTCGCAATGCGATGTTTTCCCATTCAAAACATCACAATGCGATCGCATTAGCGATCGCAAAAAATAGATCACTATGCGGATTTGTCATTAAACGGTGTGCTCGTTATGCGAGGCACCACTGTATGTGCTTTATAATTCATGCTTTTACGAGGCTTGGCCTTGGTGGAGGCCATCATCTACCTGTTTCTAACATGCACATTTTAAGAGTTATAGTTCATATAATTTCGTTATGCGAGGCACCACTGTATGTGCTTCATAACATGCTTTTACGAGGCTTGACCTTGGTGGAGGCCATCATCTACCTGTCTCTAACATGCACATTTTAAGAGTTATAGTTCATATAATTAAAGAAGAAGTGCATCATTGCTATTTTTTTCCCATTCTCTTGAAGTTTTTCTTTGGTCCTGCACAGTTCTCTATGGGTTGAAATTGGTTAGAAGGAAGGACTACAAACAACAAACATCAGGGTGGCATCTAATTTTTACTCCCAAGTAGAGGAAGCCCATGGAATGAAGGGAACTTGTGAAGGCAACACTTACCGTAACCACTGTTGGTTCAGTGGGTCTACACTGATTTGAAATAACGCTTGGATGTAGCCCCCAAATATTCAAGCACCTTTCCAAAAAGAATACAGTGGGCTCTCGACTTACGAATGGCTCGACATACGAACGTTTTGACTTACAAACCGCTCTCATAGGAATATATGGAGTCGACTTGTCATCATTAGTATTTTTCCCCCCATTCTCTTGAAGTTTTTCTTTGGTCCTGCACAGTTCTCTACAGGTTGAAATTGGTTAGAAGGAAGGACTACAAACAACAAACATCAGGGTGGCATCTAATTTTTACTCCCAAGTAGAGGAAGCCCATGGAATGAAGGGAACTTGTGAAGGCAACACTTACCGTAACCACTGTTGGTTCAGTGGGTCTACACTGATTTGAAATAACGCTTGGATGTAGCCCCCAAATATTTGAGCACCTTTCCAAAAAGAATATATATTTTAAGTCAGCTTAAAGTATTGTGTGTCCTGTTAGGATGTTTCTGTTGTGCAGAACTCTTGAGTGCTTTTATGCCTTTGTGCATCATCAGACTCTTTACAGTGATGTGGGGTTGCTGCTCAACACTGTAGCTAACGCTTTGTCTACCAAAGGTCCCAGGTTCGATTTTTATTATAGTTGGGTAGGGCTGGCAAGAATACCCGTCTGAAGCCATAAAGAGTGGCTGTCAGCCAGAACCAGAAAATATAGAGCTAAATGAACCAGCAGTTTGACTCTGTGTAAGGCAGGTTCATGTATTTCTTGTCTATTATCAGATTGTCTCGTGGTACAGTTTCACAAAGACACTAACTGGAGGGTGTTCTGTCTCTTGTTGAAAGTGGGTTGTACTTGCCCAGTATAAACAACAGCCACCTAGATAATAAAGACCCTTACATACAATAGGGCCCCCTTATCCGCGGAATCAGTATCAGCGGATTCACTTATCCGCAGTCTGAAAATATTTAAAATATCAAAAGAAAAAAAAACCAAAATATATATTTCTAATGATGAAGAAGGAGCCAGAGACCATTATATGTATAGAGTTTGTTATTATAATAATGTTTGGTACAATCTGCGTTTTTCAGCGTCTGCGGGGTCTTACTGTATATGCGAGCGATTGATTTAGTGTGACCATTGTAGTTCATATTTCTGGATCCATCCTCAGTTCTGTCTCCAAAATAATCCACAGATAAAAGGGGAGAACATACGTTCTCAGGGGGAAACGACATCCATGTTTGGTGGTCTCAACATTTCAAGTGAAAACACGAGGAGGATCAGGAAGGGGTTGAATTATTTTCATTGCATGATGTAACCTTATTGGAATGGAAGAAAAACTGTTAAGAAACCGCTGGTCAACCTTGTTCAGATATCTTGTGATGAAAAGAATAGCGAATTGCAATTGAAAATGCTTAATGAGGCATGTTTAAGGAGTGGGAAGCCTAAGTAAGTTGGGAAAAGTCACTGTTAGTAGAAAAAGGCTATATAAACACCCAGTGGGTTCTCAACAAATTTTGGGTAACCCGTGAAAGCTAATTGGGTTCTAAAGAGGACGTTCAGAACTGTTATTTATCACAAAGGATCACAAGTGTTGTATAAAATATGAAGAGTTAATATGAGGCATGTTTAAGGAGTGGGAAGCCTAAGTAAGTTGGGAAAAGTCACTGTTAGTAGAAAAAGGCTATATAAACACCCAGTGGGTTCTCAACAAATTTTGGGTAACCCGTGAAAGCTAATTGGGTTCTAAAGAGGACGTTCAGAACTGTTATTTATCACAAAGGATCACAAGTGTTGTATAAAATATGAAGAGTTAATATGAGGTATAGGGTTCTAAAGAGGACGTTCAGAACTGTTACTTATCACAAAGGACGACAAGTGATGTATAAAATATGAAGAGTTAATGTGAGGTATAGTGGTGCCTCCCTTTACGATTGCCCTGCATTACGACGAATCCGCTTTACGGTCTAAATGGGGGAATTTCGCTTTGTGATGATCGGTTCCCTGCTTCGGGAACCGATTCTTCGCAAAATGATTTTTCAACAGCTGATCGGTGGTTTCAAAATGGCCGCCGGGTAAATAAAATGGCTCCCCGCTGTATTTAGGGATGGATTCCTCGCTATACAGGCAGCAAAAATGGCTGCCATATGGAGGATCTTCGCTGGACGGTGAGTTTTAAGCCCATTGGAACGCATTGAACGGGTTTCAATGCATTTCAATGGGCTTTTTATTTTCGCTTTACGCTGTTTCTGCTTAACGGCAATTTTCCTGGAATGGATTATCGCCATTAAGCGAGGCACCACTGTATGTGTTCCCCTCTATTCAGCACTGGTTAGACCTCACCTAGAATCCTGTGTTCATTTCTAGACATCACACTTTGTGAACGATACCAACAAAGTGAAGTAAGTTCAGAGGAGGGCAACGAAGATGTTCAGGGGATGGGAAACCAAGCCCTCTGAGGGAAGACTGAAAGGACTGGGGATGTTTAGCCTTGAGAAAAGAAGACAGGGGGGTGATAGGATAGCACTTTTCAAAGACTTGAAAGGTTGTCATCCAAAAGAGGGGCAGGATCTGATCTCGGTCATCCCAGAGTGCAGGACAGGTAATAATGCCCTGAAGCTACAGGAAGGCAGATTTAGGTTAAATATCAGGAGAAACTTAACTGTTAGAGCGGTATGACAATGTAACCAATTAACCTCAGGAAGTAGCAAGTGCTCCAGCGCTGAAGGCATTCAAGAGGAAATGGGACAACCCTCCATCAGATCTGCTTTGATTTGGATCCCTGCATTGAGCAGGGGGTCAGACTCTATGACCTCATAGGTCCCTTTCCAACTCCCATTATTCTATGATTCTGTGAAATTGTACTGCTGAGAGTTAAAAGTACACATAAAAGCTTGCATTTATCAATAAGGAAAAATGTATGAAGTTATAAACACTGAAATTTTTGATATATAGATGTCACACACACACACACACACAAAACACCCTGCAGTTTAATGATAGATTGAAAACACTCAACAAGGGCATAATTCTAGTAAGTGAAGGGAACATTCTCTAACAGCAAAAGCCATAATAAAATATCTGGATAAACATCAATGAATCCTGTGCCTGTTAGCAATGTGATGCAGTCATCTGCATTCGGTGACGTTAGTGGAAGGGAGAACAATTAATTCTGGATCTCTGCTGATTTTCTAGAAGCCTGTTATTTAGGCTGCTTGGTGTATAGGAGTCCTAAACATGAGTCAGATGTTCAGGCCTCATGAGTCACCATCAGGCAGAAACTAGTTCATCAGTGAGACCGGGGTTCATTGAAAAGGATGACGTTCTCTACAGTCTCATGAACCGTGCTTAATCTGAAATAGTACCGCGTTTTCTACAGTGAAATCCACAGCATTGACGTAGAATTTAAATGCACACTTCCTTAGCATTCAAATATAAATTTTATACATTCTTGAGAAAAGCATTTGGGTTATCTAAATTCTGCAGACATTAGGGAAATTTGGCATCTGAATTGTTGTTAACACACCTTGCTTGTGTGGAGGATCTATTTAAGCTTTCCTTGAATGCCTCTTTGTACTTTCTGTGATATAAACACACAAGATGGCTCAAATTCCAGAAACGGTTATCTTTTGAACATTTTCAAAGTCCAGTTGATTCCAGGGGCCACCCGTCCCTTCTACGCAGCAAGAGGCAGTTGACTTGGTAGCCTTAAGGCCTGGATCCTCGCGTTGTGCGTCACTCCTGCGATCGCTTTGCAGGCCAAGGGGATTCCTCTGTAGCCACTCAGCCACACGACCTCAGGAGGGGTAAATTCAACAGAGTGAGTTGTGGTTAGGACTACAGAACTGGCGCCTGTTCTTCCCAGCATGAATCCTCTTCTTTAATACTGGAATATAACATGCACAACAGGGACACTTTGAACATGGGGCTTATTCCTTAGATTTGAAAAAAATGCATATTATTGAAATTTTCGGTGGTAATAACAATTCACTTTGAAATCTGAAAGCAAAGTTGATAAATCGGTCCATCATGCATCAGCCCCTGAAATGGAGCCTTGATAATGACCACTAGATGGCTCTATGACCATTACATTCTGTTTTCCTTTACAGTGGTGCCTCGCTTGACGATAACGCGTTCCGTTAAAATTGCTGTTAAGCGAAATCATCGTCAAGTGAAATAAAAAAAACCATTGAAATGCATTGAAACCGTTCAATGCGTTCCAATGGGCGAAATACCTCATTGTGCAGCGAAGATCCTCCATAGGGTGGCCATTTTCTGGTGCCTGTATAGCAAGGAATCAGTCCTTAACACAGCGGGGAGCCATTTTGCACAGTGGGTGGCCATTTTGAAACCCAACGATCAGCTGTTTTTAGATCGTCGTAATGCGTAAGAATCGGTTCCTGAAGGAGGGAACCGATCGTCGTGAAGGGAATTTTCCCCGTAGGAACATTGTTTTGCGATCTCAATAGCAATTGCAAAAAAACCATCGTAAAGCGAATTCGTCGTTTAACAAGGTGATCGTTAAGCGAGGCACCACTGTACCTGCAAGAAGAACAGGGCTGTTATTTACAGTATTTTGTTTTATTTTATTGGATTTCTACCCCGCCCATTTATACCAAAGGTCTACTCTGGGCGGCATTACAAATTTAAAAGCAGTTAAACCAATAAACATGCACTATAAATGCAAGATGGTAACATGTGAAATTTAAGATACAACAGGAAGCCTGCTCGAATAGCCAGGTCTTGAGTTTGCTTCTGAAGACACCCAGAGAGGGAGCCAGGCTAGGGGCCACTGCTGAGAAGTCCCTGTTCCTCGTTCTTTCCTTCCAGACCTCCCTCGGCGTTAGGCCCCTCTGCCTCCCGGCCTGGCTGGAATGAGTGACTCTGGCAGAACTGGGTGGGAGAATGTGCTCCGCCAGATATCGAGGTCCCAAACCGTTTAGGGCTTTATATGGCATCGTAAGAACTTTGAAATCAACTTTGTGATCCATTCTTGAGGCTGTTTGCTTTATTCTGTTGATGCTCAGTGCGGTTGTAGGTCGGTCACTGCTAGAGAACACAACACGCAAGCTTTTCTAGCGACTGTCTCCCAAACTAAGAAACCTTTTTACAAAAGCAACTCTTCTCTTTCCGTCCTCAGGAAAGATTCGAAGCCCTCTTCTCCATCTACGACGATCACGTCACATTTCAGCTCTTCAAAAGCTTCCGAAGAGTGAGGATAAACTTTAGCAGCTCCGAAGCGGCGGCCAGGGCACGCATCGAACTGCACGAGACGGACTTCAACGGGAAGAAGCTGAAGCTGTATTTCGCCCAGGTACATCGTCTGCCGTGACTTAGATTTATGCGCCCCCCCAGAGATGGGTATGAACTGAACTAAAGGTAAAGGTAAAGGTTCCCCTTGACAATTTTTGTCCAGTCGTGTTCGACTCAAGGGGGCGGTGCTCATCCCCGTTTCCAAGCCATAGAGCCAGCGTTTTGTCCGAAGACAATCTTCCGTGGTCACATGGCCAGTGCGACTTAGACACGGAACGATCACGTCACATTTCAGCTCTTCAAAAGCTTCCGAAGAGTGAGGATAAACTTTAGCAGCTCCGAAGCGGCGGCCAGGGCACGCATCGAACTGCACGAGACGGACTTCAACGGGAAGAAGCTGAAGCTGTATTTCGCCCAGGTATATCGTCTGCCGCGACTTAGATTTATGCGTGTCCCCTCAGAGATGGGTCCGAACTGAACTACGAACCTAAAAAAAACAACACCATGAAATGGGGCGGTTTGTGCGATGAGGCATGAACTGCAGCACAGAGGCTTCTGTGGTTTAGCCCACAGCGCCACCACGTCCCTACGAACTGAACTACGAACCTAAAAAAAACACACACCATGAAATGGGGCGGTTTGTGCGATGAGGCATGAAGCAGGGGCATTAGATTTCTTTTCCCCCCAGCATGAACCCCCCCCAAATGAGTCACAAACTAGTTTGTTTTTTCTTGGCTATCCACAGACCACCCCGATCCATCACTTTTCTAGTCTGTGCCAATCTACACTTTTAAAGGAAGTGCCTTTAAAAAAATACAAATATCCTTTATTGGATCAGCAAAAAAATAATAATAATAATTATAAAGTACGTGAACTTTGCTTGCCTCATTGATCACTTCTTAGTAATCCAATAAACGTATTGCTCGATCTAGAGGTTTTCTCCTATGCATGGATCAGAAGGCTGTTACTTTTCAGTTTGCTGGGTTGTGGGTTTTTTTTAAGGTGTTAATCCAAAGTGGTGGGCACATTTCTGTTCCATATGCTCCGGGAATAAAAGCAGATTCTCTAGGTATTTGTGCCTGCCTCTTTTTGTAAATTAGTCACCAAGTTTGCCTGATGTCTTTCGAGTAGCGATATATATTTTTCTCGGCAAACCTCCCCAGTCTTGGGTCCTTCTCTGTGCCAAAGGGACGGCTCTTCCTCGTCGTTTGCAGCACTGCCCCCATTAACGTGAAGATGGGCTTCAAAACTTGAAAAAATGGGCTGTATGTCTCTGTTGAATGCTTCAGAGCAGCTGCTGCCGGAACAGATATTAGCTATGGATAACCTAATTTTTTACTATGCAGAAGGTCACATGTTCAAACCACACTGTTCCTGGCAAGCCCTTTACACCTTGCACAGAAGCACACAGCGTGCCTAGATGTGTTGATAGTCAAGGCTGCATGCACTCTATTCTAAAAGCCAAATTAAAAATTATGTGCCTTGGTACAAAAAATATTATTTTTTAGAAGATAATTCCTTCTGGGACTTGCATAAATAAACAGGACTTGGTTTCCCGCCCCCTGATCCTCCTTGTGGCTTTCCTCTGAACGTCCCCCAATTTGTCAGCATCCTTCTTGAAGGGCGGCGTCCAGAACTCGAATGATCACCTCTAAGGCATCTCGGAAAATGCCAAATTAGAAGAGCCTAAGGATATCTTTTTAAAGCAGCCTGAACAGGGTGCAGCTGTTGCCTTTCTCGTACTGTTCTAGCTCCACTTGTTCTTTCAGGTCCAGATGCCCAGCGAAGCGGGGGATAAGTCTTACCTCTTGCCCCCACAACCTGTCAAGCAGTTCCTGATCTCGCCCCCCGCCTCCCCGCCGGTAGGATGGAAGCCGAGCGAAGATGCGACTCCCATGATCAACTATGACTTGCTTTGCGCTGTTTCAAAACTGGGGCCTGGTAGGGGTGTTTCTGCTGTACTTTTTCTGTCTCTGTGTTAGTAAAAGCAGATAAAAGCAGGCCTTTAAACCAGCAACTTGCCCACTAGCCTTTGGCAAGTAATAAATTGTCTCCAGACAACCAGGTAAGGGATCCTTATAGACACTGATTCTCATGGCATCCTTTGGGCAACCTTTCTGCTGATGCTGATACAGTAGGACCCTCTTATCTGCAGGATTCACTTCCCCATGGTCTTAAAATAGTGCTGCAGGATCAGTATCCGCTGATTCACTTCCCCATGGTCTTAAAATAGAAAAAGAAAAATTCCCTCAAATACAGTGGTGCCCCGCTTGACGATTACCACGTTATACGAGGAAATCGCTTAACGATGAAGTTTTTGTGATCGCTTTTGCAATCGCAGAATGATGTTTGAATGGGGTTTTTTTTCGCTTTGCGATGATCGGTTCCCTGCTTCGGGAACCGATTCTTCGCATTACGACGATCAAAAACAGCTGATCTTCAGGTTTCAAAATGGCCGCCGGGTGTACAAAATGGCTCCCCGCTGTGTTTAGGAAGGCTTTTTCGCAAGACAGGGAGCTGAAAATGGCCACCCTATGGAGGATCTTCTCTGGACAGTGAGTTATTCAGCCCATTGGAACGCATTGAACAGGTTTTTAATGCATTTCAATGGGATTTTTTATTTTGCTTGACGAGGATATCGCTTAACAGCGATTTTGCTGGAACGGATTATCCTCGTCAAGCGAGGCACCACTGTATGTATGTTGAACGCTGAAGCTAACAGAGCTGGTCACTAGAGGGAGCCAGAGACCATGTTATGTATAGTCTTTGCTATAATCCACGTTTTGCTGCATCTGCGGGAGGCTTGGAACCGATCCTCCACAGATAAGGGGGGGAGTGTCCTGCTGTATCCACGTTTTGCTGCATCTGCGGGAGGCTTGAAACCGATCCTCCACAGAAAAGGGGTTCCTGCTGTACCTCAGTGTTTTTGAGTCAGAACATACTTGTTAACCAGCGATACCGCATTGACCAGGAAGCTTTCCTCTTCCGCTTATTAGCTTTAGACTTGTGTTTGCATTCCGTCTTCTGTATTCCTATCCTATTGCACCTTTACTGGTGTACATCCTCTGGAATTCATTAGGGGGGAAGGGCAGTTTGGGACAGATTGTAGCATCCTCTTTGGATGAAGGGAGCTTTGTGGTGCAAGGGGTTAAACCGCTGTCCTGCTGCCAAAACTGTGCTCACGACCCCGGGGTTCAATCCCAGGTAGCCGGCTCAAGGTTGACTCAATCTTCCATCCTTCCAAAGTCAGTAAAATAAGTACCCAGCTCGATGGGGGGAAGGGAGAATATGTAGCCTGGATAATTACCGGATTTTTGTGTGTATAAGACTATACTTTTGTCTAAAATCTTTAGACTAAAAATTGTATCGTCTTATACACGGAAGTAAGCTGGGTTCAATCCCAGGTAGCCGGCTCAAGGTTGACTCAATCTTCCATCCTTCCAAAGTCAGTAAAATAAGTACCCAGCTCGATGGGGGGAAGGGAGAATATGTAGCCTGGATAATTACCGGATTTTTGTGTGTATAAGACTATACTTTTGTCTAAAATCTTTAGACTAAAAATTGTATCGTCTTATACACGGAAGTAAGCTGAAAGAGAACAAAAACAAGGGAGGGGAAATCAGGGATCAAAGCGATCCTGCAGTGCTTTGATCCCTTTCCCCCTACACTTGCTAAGCCCCACTTATTTTTCTTAATTTTGGATTTTAAAAGTGGTGCCCTCTTATACACGGGGGCGTCTTATATACGGAAAAATAAGGTAACTTGTGAACCTCCCAATGAGTGCTTGAAGCGCTGTGGGGTAGTATATAAGCCGCCCGCTTTGCTTTTGCTTCGCCCTGCTCACATTGTTAACGCTGTAACTTGCCGTCCCGTTTTAGGGGAGAAGTACGAGCTTCATGCAGGAACGGAGTCCACCCCCAGCGTCGTCGTTCACGTGTGCGAAAGCGAGACAGAAGAGGAGGACGAAGTCAAAAACCCCAAACAGAAGATTGTGCAGACGAGGCGGCCCGACCCACCGCCCGCCTTAGTGAACGAAAATAAAACCCTTGAATGTACACTAGAGGTCAGGGGCGGGATGCATTACTGAGCTGAAGCTGTCTCTTAACAGCCGCGGATGGCGGTCCGGTTTGCCTTGCAGTGTTTATACATCCTGGCGAGAGAATTCTCTTGTAGCCGTCTGGAGAAGATTTTAGATGCCAACGTTTTGAAGAGCACTTTAATTTTTAAGGTTAACTTGCAAGATGTAGCAAATCCACAAGAGTTTTTTAAGTCCTAGCCTACTAGGAGAGTGCCATTTCTGGGGTGTGTTTTACTCTTTTCTCGGTGTTCAGAAGGCCGAAAGGAACTGCTGCTGTCGCTCTAGGGATTAACACCTGGTTTTTTGTATGTGAGTCTCCTGTATATTTTTTTGTGCGCTGGTGTATAACATGATCTGATTAACGGTGTTCTGAGTACTGTATTGATGAATTCTAAGTGTAATGTACAAGGCACATTATTCTCCGTAGAAGAATCTCAAACTGGTTTGTTTTGGGGGGGATGGGTAGAACCAGATTTCCCAACAGGTATATATTTCGTGGCTTTTGTTCCCCCTTAGAAATGCCGTAGTTGTGTGTGTTGAATTTCAGAGTACTCTTGTGAATTGACGTGAAGCAAACACAAAATGGGAACCGCAACAAGGTGTCTTTTTGGCTCGGTGTATTTACGAAAACTGAAATACAGCCGTACCTCGGTTTGCGAACACCTTGGTTAACGTATTTTTTCGGTTTACGAACAGAAATCCATTGAAAATAATGCCTCCTCGGTTTACGATTTTTTTGCAGTACGAAGCAAGTTCCCCCAGGATGCATTGTGCCTGGAGGTTTATAGCGCCACTCCGATTCCTATGGCAAATTGCATTTCGGTTTATGAATTTTTTGCATTACGCAACATCCCGGAGAACGCATTAAATTCGTAAATCAAGGTCCGCCTGTACAGCAATGACCCTTGTATCCGCGGATTATAGCAAACGCTATTATAATAGCCAGTGCTATACATAGCGTGATCTCTGGCTCCCCCTAGCGAACCGTTCTGGTAACTTCATCATTAGAAATTTATATTTTTGAGATGTTTCTTTTAATATTTTTAATACTTTCAGGCCGCAGATAAGGGGGGTCCTACTGTATGTGCAGGAAGGCTGCAGATCATAGATTTACTCCTTCTTCGGCACTTGTTTCTTCGTTGTTCATCGCCTGTTTCTGTATCTTGCTGGGGCTGCCCCTTAGGCAGGATACTGTTTAGTGTGTGTTTAGCTGATACCTCTCACAAGCAGAAACTATGCACCCACAGGGAGGGTCCTGTATCTTTTCTGGTTCCTTGCAAAACATGGCTCCCCGTGTTTAACCAACCAGATCTTTCATCTTGTCTTTGAAAGGTGGTGTACATCGTGAAACGGAGTTACACGTAAATGCAAACGTTCGTCATCACCCTTACAGCAGTGACAATTTAGATGTGTCCCCCATGTGTAAGTCCGGAAGAGTGCTTTAGATGCCTATCTCTGCTCCCTCTGCCCTTCTTAACAACCCCAGCTGATCTGTATTTTGTCACGTCCAGGGCCTTGTGATCACTAATTTTTGCATAGTATTGTGGCTGACTTGTCACAGTCTTCCTTTTCGTCCTGTATCCTGTGTCGTGTTCACTCGTTCCTCTCTCGAAATTCCCCAGCGTAGACTTAGGGTCTTAAGGAGAGCCAAGTTAGCAAGTCCCTGTGAGCTTCCGGTTGGAGCGCTTACTTATTGCCTGACCTTCCCTTGTTCTCATGCCATCAAACCTTCTATTCTTACTACAGTAGGACCCCCCACCCCACCCCCCCGTATCCGCATGGATTTGGTTCCGCAGATGCTGGAAAAACGAGGATTACACATCGAATGCTATTACATAGCATGCTCTCTGGCTCCTTCTAGTGGCCAGTTCTGGTAACTTATCATTAGAAATGCATATTTCTGGGATTTTTCCTTTTAATATTTTCAGTCTGTGGATAAGCGAATCAGTGGATACTGATCCCGTAGTTATTTGGGGGGGGTTCCTGCCGTACATCTCAGGAAGGGAGAAAAGCTTGCACCGAGATAGCTTTCTTTCCACTGTCGTAGGAAACGTGCTGACAATCGAGCTGCCTAGACTTGACCCATACGGCTAGACCGTTTTGGCTGAGTCTGTCCTCACCACTGTGTTTCCCTTGCTCAGTGTCTTTTGGAAAGCAGCACCTTAAGATGCTGTTCATTCAGCTTTCTGTAATGCTGTATTTCTAACGACTAATCTTTTTTTTTCTCTCTCTCTTTTTAATGGCTAAACTGACAGAATAGATGGGGTGGGCGGGACATCAGAAGTTTGGGTTCTGTGTTCCCTACAAAGTCATCAGTTGTACCAAATTCTCTGGGAATCAATCGTGTTGGGCTCCAGAGCGCAGAAGGGGGTGCTTCTCTGTGTGTCGTAACTCAAAAAGTCAGGCAGGTGCTTCAGTGGTCTGCTTGCACCAGACTTTGGTGCCTTTCAGACATAGCGCTAAAGGCTCGGGGTGAGACCTCTCCAAAGGCCAAGACGCGACTCAAAGGCTCAAGTAGAATCGCCTTTCTGTTGAGTCCTTTTCCTCTGTCAGAGTCCAGAAGGAAAGGGGAACAATCACAGAAAGTGGCTGGTTCCTGAGATCTACGGGTAGATCTCTCTCAGAAGCAGTTCAGGATCAAACAGAATCAGAACTTTGTTCCGTTTGCATGCCTTGGCTCCGGCATTTAGGCGAATGACTGCCGGAGACTCGAAACGCTGAAGTCGAACCCGTAAGATCCATTTCAGAACTCATTAAAATTGACCAGGTGATCTCTCCACCTAACTTTCCTCTTGGGCTTGGTGGGGATAAAACCACGTACAAAATAAATAATATCAGGTACATAACTCTGAGGCTCTTCGGATGCAAATAGGATGGATCAAGATGGCAGTGATTCAAGGCAACGGCTCTTTTTCCAGAATACAATTTAGTTATTCTCTGCTTATTAAGAACAAAGGCAAGGTTACTTATTGTTACTTGACGTATTATTAAAGCTGTTGACATTTTCCACACCATGTTCTGTTAACATTTTTTTTAACGGTTCATTTATTCTACAGAACAATATTGGTTGTTCCCAATAAATGGTCAGAATCTTGTTCCATGTTTACTGTCATGTGTTCAGAATGGAGTATACTTTTGCGTGAAAGGCCTGGAGAAGCTATAAATGTATGAATCATGCCAGCCCCCCTCTACCTACCTACCTACCTACCTACCTACCTACCTACCTACCTACCTACCTACCTACCTACCTACCTACCTACCTACCTACCTACCTACCTACCTACCTACCTACCTACCTACCTACCTACCTACCTACCTACCTACCTACCTACCTACCTACCTACCTACCTACCTACCTACCTACCTACCTACCTACCTACCTACCTACCTACCTACCTACCTACCTACCTACCTACCTACCTACCTACCTACCTACCTACCTACCTACCTACCTACCTACCTACCTACCTACCTACCTACCTACCTACCTACCTACCTACCTACCTACCTACCTACCTACCTACCTACCTACCTACCTACCTACCTACCTACCTACCTACCTACCTACCTACCTACCTACCTACCTACCTACCTACCTATAAGGCTATCATGTTCAACCTCCTGCTCAAAGCAGGAATATAGATCAAAGGCTATCTGCCGGGCGGTTGTCTAAATTGTCCAAATTCATCTTGAATGCCTCCAGCGTTACAGCACTCGAGGAACACAGATCAAAGGCTATCTGCCAGGCGGTTGTCTAAATCGTCCAAACTCATCTTGAATGCCTCCAGCGTTACAGCGCTCACCACCCCTTGAGGTCCTTGGTTCCGTTGTCGTACTGCTCTAACAGTTAAGATGTTTTTCTTGATATTCAACGGAAATCTGATTTCTTGTAACTTAAGCCCATTGTTCCATGGCCTGCCCTCTGGTGCAGAACACGCAGCGTGGTGCAAAGTTCTGAATTCCTCAGAGTTCTTCAACAAAGTAGGTGGCGATCCTGGGGGTACAGGAAGAAGGAGCGGCTGAGGTCCTAACCATGGAATTCTGAAGAACTTAGGGGGGGGGACTTGAGTCGGCATCGCTGCTGGCCTCAAGTTCCTATTTAGGAATGTTCTCCGCCCTTTGGGAAGTTCCAAAACCTGATCTGTCCATTCTAGTCTTCGGTGAAGTTGTGAGATAATGCGGATAATTAAATAATTAGCTGCCCCGTATCTTCTAGGCAAACCGCCTCCCAAATCAACATCAAAGGGATGGCAGCAGCTGGCAGTTCTTGGGCTCAAATCCACTCCCTTGTAGGGTATTGCCTGGTTCTTTCCTTGCCAACAAAGAGCAGAAAGAGTGGAAAGAATGGTACAGTATTTGCAGCAAAAGCATTTCCTCAAGAGCTACTGGGGGGAGGAGGGGAGTGGATTGTGCCAGCTTACACCTAACTTTCTCAAGACAAGCTGCCTGATCAAATTGATTGGGGCCGAGCAGCACAATAGAACTGTGAGAATATGGCCCTCTTGGGATGAATCAACAAAGCATGGAGAGAGGTTTGTGATAGGCTGATGTTGCAGTGGACGGCAGTCAACCATGTTTTTCAAAGGGGCAAATGTGTTTTCCCGCTTCCTTGCCCTGTTTTCCCCCTGCAAAACAGTGGTGATCACTCAAGAGAGGACAGGAAAAGGGTTGGGGGGGGTCATCGAGGAACAGCAAACGGGGAAGGTGTTTGAGGAGGGGGCGTGGTCTATTTTAAATTGCTTTTTGTGTGTGTGTTGATAAAGCAAGAGAAGCCGCTGTTCCGGAGCTATACATCAAAGTATATTGTGCGCTAGGCAAACGAGGCATGGCATAGCTGGCACACTTGCAGCCTCTCTAAGGCTGTTGTATTGCACTTCCCATTATCTGGCTGATTCTGATGGACTTTGTAGTCCAGCAATAGGGAGATGCCAATTTGCACAGCCATGGTTTGGAGAATAAATGTGCCAGATCAGCTTGGCAAGCAGTAGCTCAAGTTTCACATAGGCTTGCTACCAACCACCAATAAAAGGACATATTGTAGTTTGTATTATTTTGAAGGTTTCTAGTGTAAGGTTGAGGGGGCAAAAGGTTATACTGGCTTGCAGTACATGATGGATGCTTCCAAATAGATAGTTCCTGGTGCTATCAACAAAAAGAGTTTTGTCTTTACTTAATGTGGGAGTGGGGGTGGTTAGGAAATACAGTGGTGCCTCGCTAGACAGTTACCCCGCATGACAGTTTTTTTGCTAGATATTGACTTTTTGCCATCGCTATAGTGATTCGCAAAACAGTGATTCCTATGGGGGAATTTTGCTGGACAATGTTTGGTCCCTGCTTCGCAAACCGATTTTGACTAGACGACGATTTTGACAGCTCCCTCCGCGCTCGCAAAACAGGTGTTTTCGGGACCTAAGCTTCGCAAGACAGCGATTTAAACAGCTAATTGGCGGTTCGCAAAGCAACTTTCCTATGGCCGATCTTCGCTAGACAACGACGATTCTTCCCCATTGGAATGCATTAAACAGGTTTCAATGCATTCCAATGGGGAAATGCTTTTCGCTAGACAATGATTT